CACACACACACACACACACACACACACACCCCAGGATGATCACCTAGTGTTCAGGAAACTGCTCTTTTTTAAAAAAACAAACTCTATACCCAATGTGGGGCTCAAACCCACGACCCCAAGATCAAGAGTTACATGCTCGGGGTCCCTGGGTGGCTCAGTCGGTTAAGTGTCCAACTTCGGCTCGGGTCATGATCTCACAGCTCGTGGGTTCGAGCCCCGCGTCGGGCTCTGTGCTGACAGCTCAGAGCCTGGAGCCTGCTTCCGATTCTGTGTCTCCCTCTCTCTCTCTGACCCTCGCCTGCTCACATTGTCTCTCTCTCTCAAAAATAAATAAACATTTAAAAAAAAAAAAAAAAGAGTCACATGCTCTACCATGCAGGCACCCCCTGCAATCTGCATTTTGATTCCACAGTACCCGGGGAGGAAATCTCATATCAATGAATTTGGATGTACATCCTCCTTCGTGCTGACTTCATAGATTTCTGCTCTCTAACCAATTATCTACAGAGGACACTGAAGCAGTTTCCAATCCTAAGTTTTAAACAGTGCTCTCATGAGCACCCACATACACGCTTTACGTGACCCCGACTAGCTCCTAAAGTAATCAGGGAGATTGCTAAAGTACATGCACATTAAATCTTGACGTCTTACTGGACGTTTATACTTCTGCACTTACTAGGAAGGCTGCACGACTTCTCAAGCGCTAACTGGCCATCCACATTCCTTCTTCTGCAGATTGCTCATATCGTCTACCCATTTCTTTACAGTAAACCTTAACTTCTAAAACTTAGTTTAGAGCCCTTTTTCATTTTTAGAACCATGACATTAATCCTCTCTTAGGCGGCTATGCTGAAAATACTTTTCCTAATAGTTTTCCTTTCCTTCTTGTTTTGGGGGTTTATTTTTTTTTTTTGAGGTGTTCAGGTTTTCTTTAAAGTTTCACATCATGCTCAGCAAGGTCCTTCCCTATCCAAGATGCATATAAACAGGTATTTTCTTCCAATACTTTTATGACTTGAATTTTTACAGTGAAATGTTTGATTTACTAGATTTATTTGATTTGATTTACTAGATTTAGATGTGGGCATGAGATCTAGGTTGGTTTCCCCCCAAATGGCCAACCAATTGGCCCATTACCTTCAACTGAATAATTCATTTTCTTGCCACAAACTTAAGGGCTTCCTTTCCACAAGTCAAAGAACTCCATTGACCTGGTTTTTCTCTGGATTCTAGTCTTTTCCATTTACCCTGTGTCTACTACTGTGCCAGAATCACAGTGTTACCACAGGTTTGCCATGTGCTTTAATGCCTGACAGGGCAAGTTCCTGCTTATCATTCTCTTTCAGAAAGCATTTGTCTGTTCTCACTGATTTATTTTTCCAGATAAACTGTTGAATTTCTTTCTTTCTTTTTTTTTTTTTTTTTTAAGATTTTATTTTGAAGTAATCTCTACATTCAATGTGGGGCTCAAACTGACAAGCCAAGATCAAGAGTCACACACTCTACCAACTGAGCCAGCCAGAGACCCCTTACTCTTGAATTTAATTCCCCCCACTCTGCCATGAAAAATAAAAAAACCTCATTAATATTCTCAGAATACATTAAATGTATAGTTTAACTTTGGAAAAATTGACATCCAAGAGTAAAATTTGGCTCTCCACTCAATTCTCTCATGTCTCTCAGAGTTTTAGTTTTTCATCATAATCAGTTTTACACATTGATTGTTGATTTATTCTGGATATTCAATATTTATTATAAATGGGTCTTGGGGCACCTGGCTGGCTCAGTTGGTTAAATGTCTGTCTAGCTCTTGATTTCGGCTCAGGTCATGATCTCACGGTCATGTGTAGGGCTCAGCACTAATAGCGTGGAGCCTGCTTGGGATTCTCTCTCTTCCTCTTTCTCTGCCCCTCCTTTGCTCTCTCTCTCAAAATAAGAAAACTAAAAAAATAAATAGATAAATGGCTCTTACTTCCCGTTATGCTTTCTAATAGGCTGCCATTGGTACATAAACACAGTACTGATTTTTTCTTAATCTTACCAAAATCCTCGATTTCATTTCTTGATTATCTATAAAAAGATAAAAACAGATTACAATTTAACTGAATCTTATTAAACGTATTATAAGGTTTTCCAACCAATTTTTTTAAACAGTCCACCAAAATTATAGCAGTAAGATAAGGATTACAGGCCTCACAAAAAACCATAGACTCCTACCTTTAACCTCCTTGTTCATTCTATGAATATCTTATTTTTTTAGCATTAAGGAATTTTAAAATAGTATTTGATTTCATAGATATTTATAGTAAACAGGAAAATAACCTCAAATTTTAAATCAATCCAGCATCCACTTAGCTGAAAAAAGAAATGTTCCACTTCCCACGATAAACACACAAAAGTGATTGGGGGTTTCCAATTACCAACCGCAATTAACTGGGCTTTGTAACCTGACCAAAACATGATCTTTGTCCCAGAATATTAAAATTACCAGGATATGATCCTTCTGTGATTGTCCACCACATCCTACATGTGAATATACTGGGACCACCAGTAAGTCAATAAGCCAGATAAGGTAAGGAATGTGAAAACCACACACAGATGAGAGGCACCCCCAAAGCCCAGGACACAGGAATCTCTCAATACTCTCCCAAACAAAGAAATCAAATTACACAAGACCGGGAGCACATCACACAAACACAGACAACATCAAAACGCTCAGGAAGGTGTTCACTCTACGCTAAGTTCAAATAACCTGTGGGCCTGTGGAAAAACCTCTCACGAATTAAGCCTCAGGATCAGTAAACGGCTCCTATAATCAAACACACTGTTACTAATTTACAGAAGGCAGAAGAAACAAACACACCCACCCCAGGCTGCAAGATACAAGCACCCCCAAGAATCTGCTGGGAGCAGGACATACTAGAGAAAATAAGAGTTTTCCTTTTTTTACATTTCAAGTTTTTACAGCTTATTTTGAAAATGTTCTAAAGCCAAGATAAACTATTTTTTGATTACCCACCACTTTAGAATACTCAAGCCTTTCACTAATATGGACACCCAAGGTTCTCAAAATTATCACAAGAAAGGTATGTTTCACGCACAAGACACCTTCTGAACGACTAAAACACCAAGGATACAGCAAAGAGCTTTGGCGAGGGATCCCGCCAGCAGAGTTTCCGTATGTTGACCCTTTATGTCACCTGCAAATAATAATAAAGTTAAAAAGTCAATTACTGGGCATTTTCTTGGACTGAAATAATTTTCAAACCAAAGCATTCATCCTGAATAAAACCAGACATGTCCAAATCAGGTTTAAAAACACAGAGAGAGATCTGTTCTCAGTATTGCTTAAATAAGCAATTTTTAACATTTTCTCAATTTAAAATATTCTGAGGGGATACAAAGTCTCAGTTTGGGATAAGTTCTGGGAATGGACAGTGGTGATGTTTGTACACCATGTAAATGTACTTAATGTCACTGCACCGTACATTTTTAAATGGCTAAAAAGTAAATTTTATGTTATGTGTATTCTACCACAATAAAAAATAAATAGAAAACACCCTGGGGTTATCTGGAAAGGTTCAGGTTTGTTATGACCTAAAAGGTACGAAAGGTCATGTACAGTACCTGATCTGAGTCTCTCTCTCCTCCATCCCATCACCCCTCTGCCTCCCGCCCCTGGAGAGCTGCCTGGCTTGTGGACAGCGGATCGAGCAAGCCCTCTAGCTGTGGCAAGCAGGGACGATGCTGGCAACTTATTTGACGCCTTGAGTGAAAAGAGTTAAGCAGCTCAAGAGGGTGGAGATCCCAGACAGACATCTGGCCTGCAGCTGGTCCTGGAGCACTGATACCCCCACCCGTGGGGGAGGTCAGACCAGGAAAGGTCTTGAACACCATACTGAAAAGTTGAGACTTTACCCTGGAGACCAGTGGTTCTTGAAGTGTGATTCTGGAACCAGGTATAGGAGCATCACCCAGGAACTTAACAGACACACAAATTCTTGGGACTACCCTCGACCCACAGAATCACAAACTGCAGGGTGGGACCCAGCATTTTGTTTTAACAAGCCCCCAGGCGACTTTTACCAGCTTTACTGGGGTATAACTGACAGATCATAAAATTCACTCCTTTTAAGAAAACAATTCAGTGGTTTTTAGTAAATTTAGAGAGTTGTACACAATTACCACAACCCAATTTCAGAACATTTCCTTTTACCCCAAAAGATCCCGTGGGCCGGTCCCAATGGCATGGTGCTGCCCCGGCCCCAGGAAACCACGAACCTACTTCCTGTCTCTAAAGAGTTCCCTTTCCCTTCCAGGTGATTCTGACACAGGCTACGGTTTAAAAAACACAGCCTACGGGCAATAGGGAACCAGTAACAGCCTTTAAGCCAGGAAATAGCAGCTCTGCTTTTCAGAAAGATAACTATGAGTGGAAAGACCTGAATGGGGACAGACAGAAGTGAGTGAACAGAGGCCACTACAATGATCCAGAGGAGCAGTGCTCAACCTGAGCAACTGTGCCCTATAGGGGATATTTGGCAAAGTCTGAGACATTTGGTTATCACAACTGGGGGATGTTATGGCATCTAATGGGTCTAGGCCAGGGATGCTGCTAAATATCCTCCAAAGCACAGGGCAGTTCCCACAACAGAGAATTATCCAGCCCAAAATGCCAACGGTGCTGGGGTTGAGCCAGATGACAGAGAATTTGGAGGCAAATTTTGGAGGTACTTCTAAGGCTAAACTAATGGGATATCATAGCTGACTAGATGGTGAATGTGAACAGAAAAGAGTCAAAAATGAACACTTTGAGTTTGGAAACGTAGGTGGAGGGGTGTGGCAGAAACTGGGGGTGGAAATGGCGGTGTGACTGGGAGGGAAAGATAATGAACCTAGTCTGGGGTGTGTCAGCCAGACTGTGGACCCCTCTGTGGAGACATTTGCTGGAAGAAAGGCTACATTAAAGATAAAGACTGGCGGGGTGCCTGGGTGGCTCAGTCGGTTGGGCGGCCGACTTCGGCTCAGGTCATGATCTCGCACTCCGTGAGTTCGAGCCCCGCGTCGGGCTCTGTGCTGACAGCTCAGAGCCTGGAGCCCGTTTCAGATTCTGTGTCTCCCTCTCTCTCTGACCCTCCCCCGTTCATGCTCTGTCCCTCTCTGTCTCAAAAATAAATAAACATTAAAAAAAAAAAAAAGATAAAGACTGGGAAGTGTTCACATAGAAATGACAATTAAAGATAAGAGCGGATGAAAACATACAGAGAAAGAAAAAAGAAGAATATAATGTGCAGAATTGAAAAACCTATTTTTTTATGGGACAAGATGAAGGAAAAGTCAGAGATGGAAGAATGGTCCTAAAAAGAGAAGAAACAGGACAAAAGGATATCCTTAGACGCTAAGAGTGTGTTTCAAGAAGTAGAGGCTGGTGGACAGTGGGAGAGGCTGGCAAGGTCAGGCAACCGGGGCTCAGGCTTGGATGAAAATGATTTTACAAAAGAAAAGAGAGAGAACGCAAGTAAACAGTCCCAGGAACCCCAAATCTCTCGACTTCGAGCCTCAAGGACCTCCACATTCAACTGCCTATTGTACAAAAATATAATGGGCAAAGAAATCCATTACTCTTGGTCATGAGATCTTTAATTTCTTCAGCAATGACTTCATTTGCTGCTGTGAACAACTCGTATTTGCCGTCTTTGCTCCCTGAGGGGCTGAATTCAGAAGGAGGGTTGCCGGGGTCTCCAAAGAAGTCTCCAAGTCTGCCATTCTTCCCAGGATATAAGAATCGACTGAAACAGAGGGGGGAAAAAACACGAGTTACACCAGGACTCTGTCCTCACTAAACACCCAGATGAAATTCAGCACAGAAAACAAACAAAAACCACGCCAATTCTGCCTCGCAAGATTCTATAATAATTGGCAAATGCGAGTCTACCACCAGAGAGTGTTTCAATGATCCCTCTGTTTTCTCAAAAGTGAGAGGAAATAAAGCCGGTCCCAGTCTCTCGACATGCTTCGAGGTGGTTCTCATCCTACTTTCTCAGATGCCAGTCGGGAGGAGAGTCATACCAAATTCTATCTCAGGGCTGGGTTATTATTTGAGGGGTATTCACCTACCCCCCATAATACAAATCTGGTCCAAGGGCCCCTGAAAAGATCCTCCCAGTGCTTCATGATTTTTATAGTAATCCTGTAAAACACAGCTTTGATTTTTCTAACAACTGACCACTGTGTCTTTTGTAGTTTTTCTTTTGATATCTTAACCAAATCAGTGAGGTCTTTTACATTCAATTTTGAGAAAACTGCATGGTGATCATGGGAGCGAGGGCACTTACTTGGTGGCTCACGGGCTCTTTCGACACAGCCGAGAGAGCAGCCCCGAGAAACGAGGACGGAGGACCACCCACCTCATATGAAACAGGCTGGTACACGAGAGTCACTTCTCCCACAATGTGGCTGACATCTAGTTAAGACACACAAGAACTGTGTCTTGCCCAGAGAATCAGATTCTATGGTCAGTGTATGCGCGCAAAGTAAATATGGTCAAAATTAACAGTGAAAATATGTACCGTGTACATGGTCATGTCTGCAGGGAAGCTGCACACCTACACACCCGTCCCGACGTGACTCACGTGCAGCCAGGTTCTACACTCGTGTTAGAAAAGGTCACTGTTGGGGCGCCTGGATGGCTCAGTTAGTTGAGTATCTGACTTTGGCTCAGGTCATGATCTCATAGTTTGTGGGTTCGAGCCCCACATCGGGCTCAGTGCCAACAGCTCAGAGCCCGGAGCCTGCTTCGGATTCAGTGTCTCCCCCTGTCTCTGCCCCTCCCCGACCTGTGCCCTCCCTCTCTCGAAATTAAATATACATTAAAAAAGACAGAAAGATAGAAAGAGAAAGAAAAGACAAGACAAGACGAGAAAAGAAAAGAAAAGAAAAGAAAAGAAAAGAAAAGAAAAGAAAAGAAAAGAAAAGAAAAGTTAACTGTTTCTTCTGCTGAGCACCAGATGGGACAGTTGGCCTCGGTTAAAAGCCTACATAACAAGAAAAACCCTCATCTGTAAACACCAGAATCACACCCGGAGCAGTAAAATATTACACTCTGAGAAGTATGCAGGAGTCAAGACTGGCTGAGAGAAAGCGGAATCACACCTGCCCTCTGGAGCAGACCCACAAGGACAACAAGGATAGGAGCTACCTGCCCCACTTGATAATTCTCCCTGTTCTTTGCCTACAGAGTATGGCTGACTCCATGTAAGTTACCTGTGCACATGATGCAACTCTATTAGATGTCAGCTAATGAGGTTTCCGACATTCATTCCTTTCAAAGGTACACGTACTGATTCTTGACGCTGTTAGTATTGTTCAACGCTATAGAAAAAATTTTTTTTTGCACTACAGGAAAGGAACAGTACATGCCGACTGGCATCAAAATCTCACAAGTGTGAAGCACTGAACAGGTACTCACGACAGTCATACCTTTCTTGAATGTGACTTGCTATCACGGCAAGTTTGTTAGAACGATTCATGAATAAATGAGAATTTCCCAGCACCATCACAGCATCTATGCATTTTGATAAAGTAAACTGTTGAAAAATAGAAACCATAAGAAAAGATAAAGCAGCTACCCAAATAACTAGGTTAGGTCTTGAAATGATAAAGACTTCATTTAAATTTTAGACAATTATTCACTGCTGAAAACTCACTCAGGAACCCCCTCCTCCAAAGCCATAAACCAAAACACTTGAAAATTAGTTTTCTAATTTTATTTATCTGAAATGATTTCTACATCAGTGCATTATTCCACAAATATTTTCTGTACGACATTTAAGGAAAGCAAACATGTTACACATTCTATGATAAAATTACTAGAAAACTACCACCACGCAGAACAGATGATTAATATACATACCTATTAAATTGGTGATTTGTACAAGTTTTCCATTCATTCAGTCACTAAGTATGCTAAGCACCTGTTATATGCCAGGCAAAGATCCCTTCTTTCATTGAGCTTACGTTTTCTTAAGCACTAATATTACTAAAACATGTAGGTGCATATATTTATAATCCTGGAATAAAGCATGTTTCTCTTAAAGGAAAAAATACTTCAGGCAGCAAATAAAACACTGATAAATTCCACTTTATTTAAAAAAAGTACAACAAACCTATTAAAATTTCTATATGGCAAAAAAGGTGACTATAAACAAAAATGAAAGGCAAATTACAAACTGGAAAAAAAAACTGCAATATATGACAAGCAAAAGGTGAACTTTCTAATATAAAGAGTATCCACAAATCATTAAAAAAAATAATACCCAGAGAGGAAAATGTGCAATGCCCCAAGAGAGAATGGGCCATCAAATATACTAAAAGCAAACTGAGATAACTTTTATGGTACATCCTATGGGCAAAAGATAAGACAAGGAAAGAGAGAAGTGCCAGGGTGACTCAGTCAGTCAAGCGTCTGCCTCTTGATTTCAGCCCTGGTCGTGATCTCACCTTTTGTGAGATCAAGTCCTGCGTTGAGCTCCGTGCTGACAGCACAGAGTCTGCTTGGGATTTCCTCTCTCTCTCTCTCTCTCTCTCTCTCTCTCTGTGTCAAGCCCTGTCTCTCAAAAATAAATAAATAAACTTAAGAAAGAAAAGGGGGACACCTGGGTGGCTCAGTTGGTTAAGCATCTGACTCTTCGTTTCGGCTAAGGTCATGATCTCACAGTTTGTGAGTTTGAGCCCCGCGTCTGGCTCCACACTGACTGTGCAGAGTCTGCTTGGGATTCTCTCTCTCCCTCTC